GGGGGGGGGGGGGGGGGGGCAGTACAGGGGAACCCCGGCCCTGCATGCACAAGGCACCCCTGGCCAGGCGCACGCTGTGGCTGCACTGGGCACCCCGGGGAGACCCGCTGTGGGGAGGAACAGGGGTCTGAGGGACACTGTGGCACGTCCCTCCCCCTGCACAGCGAGCCTGGCACGGTGGCCCAATGCAATGAGCCTTGCCTGGCCTCCCCCCTGGTTCCCCCCTTGTCCCCACTGCAGTGCCCTCTCTGCCCAGGGGACACCCCTGTGACACTGTGGGTGGCACCACGCTGGCAGCAGCATCTTGGCTGTCACTCAGCCCCAGTAAACGCCACTGGGGTGGTGCAGCTCCATCCTCCTCCTCCAGCCCCAAGCTGGGGTAGCTGTACCCACTTCCCCAGCTCATCTGGGGCTCCCAGCACCCTCGGTCTCTTTCCCAGCACTGAGGTGCTGGACTGATGGTGGCTTTGGCCTTTGCTCTGCTGCTGGCCTGGCCCAGCTCTGCACCAGCACCTGCCTGCCCACAGGGAGGGACAGAGCTACACCCCAGCAGGAAGGTGCTGCTGGGCCCCACTGGGCCCAGGGCAGGGGGGGAGTCCCCATCCTTGGAGGGGTTGAAGAGTCGGGCTGACCCAGCACTGAGGGATCTGGTGGAGTTGGGAACGGTCACGGTGAGGTTCGTGGTTGGAATGGAGGAGCTTCAAGGGCTTTTCCAACTGAGATGATTCTGTGACCCACAGCAGTGACCTCTCCTGTCTTCCTGTCCTGCCTGGGAACAGGCCTGGCCAGATCAAGGGTTCTTCGCCCCCTCTCACCCCACCTCCTGCAGCATCAACCTTCAGTGCCAGCACCCCTGCCCCAACCCTTTGCTGGCCAAGGAACCCCGGGCACAAGGTTGGGCAGGTGGCACCACCCAAGGGCAGGGCTGTTCCAGCCTGTTTGTCCAAGCTGCCCATGGACTCTCAAGGGGAGCAAGGGTGCCAGCCCCAGTGTGGCACAAGGGCCCACCCAGGGCTTTCAGGTTAAACCCCATGGACAGCAAGGACAGATGGTGCCGGTTGCCCAGTCCCAGCTCCCACAGGGCCACGCAGGGCACCCTGGGCTGGGCTCAGGCAGCCTGGCCAGTGGCAGAGCCGGGCAGCTCTGCAGGGAGGGGGGATTTGCTGACCCCTGAGAACCAAACCACAGGCAGCTGTGCTGGCCTAGCCAAAACCTCACAGGCAGCTCTGCAGGAGCGCTGGGGTTGGTTTAGCACTGACTGCACTGGCTCTGCCAGCCTGTTTGCCAAGGGCCCTACAAACACAGGGTCCTCTCACAGCCACCACTGCCAAGGGTGTGGTGGGACTGGGTGAGGAGGACCCACAGCCCTCAGGATGTTCAGGGATGGCACCAACTGTTCAGTCCGTCCAGAGCCCCAGCGCCGCTGGGGGCAGCAGCAAGGGCCGAGCCTGGCAGCCCCAGGGCTCCTGCGTGGGGCAACAGTCCCGGCACACAGTCGGGGCCCAGACACACAGGAGCGAAGCAGACAGCAGGGCTGGTTAGTCCAGATTGTTAAGGGCAGGGAGGTGCACGGGGCTGGCGTCCGCGGCCCCCAGCACAGCTCTCATCCAGCTGGCCCAGCCTGGCTGCGGCGTTTGCCCCAAGGGTGGCCCAAGGGAAGCGTGGGGTGATTTTCCCTGTTGGCATCTCACCTCCTCCAGCCCTCAGGTGCTAAATTATTCCCCAGTCCTTGGCAGCAGCATTGGCACCCCAACATCCCAGGGCTGGACTGCTCTGCAACATCCCCCCCTACCGCTCCAAAATCCTGCCCAGGATGGAGTAACCAACCTGTTCAGGGCAGCTGTGCTTGGCCTCCACACCCCGAGCAGTGAAAGCTGCAACAAGGGAAATTTTGGTGGGACTTCAGGGGAAGAAGTGTTTCCCCTGTGTGTGGCACAGCCCACGGACAAAGCCCTGGCAAGGTGATTGAGGAAAACCCAGCCTCAGAGATTCTCCAAACTCAGCTGGATCCTCCTGACTCCCCAGGTTGTGGAGCCGGTGCCCTGCGCTGAGCAGGAGGGACCAGGCCCTCCACCCATCCCTTTCAGCTTAAATCTTTCTATGCTTCAGGCAGCAGGATCCTCACAAAGGCCTGCACAAGTCCTTGTGGGGCACCTGAAAGTAAGGAGGCAGTGGGTGCACCTCTACAATGGCACCTGCCAGCCTGTGGCCCAGGGTCTGCCAGGACTCCACCCCTTCTCCATTCTGAGCCCACCACGACACCCCAGCATCCCAACACCTCCTGGGCTGCTGCAGAAAGGGGGTCCAGGACCCACAGCTCTCCCTTGCCTGTGCCACACCAATGCTGCTGGTTTCTGCTGCCCACCAGTGCCCCTTGGGCCCTGCAGAGCACACTGAAAGAGGGAATCGGTGCTTTACTGGAGCAAAGGCTTCTCCACAGAGATCATGCCAGACGGCCCTGCAGCCAGCCCAGCTCTTCCTTGGACATGAAGGACTGAAGCTCTGCGCTTCTTCATTGTCCCCAGGTTGTCCTCAAGCTGCTGAGCCCAGCCAGTAGGTCAGAGGGTATGTGAGCAGGATGGGTCAGTGCTCAGAGCCAGGGCATGCATAGCCAACATACAGCACAAGGTTTTTGTGCAGACAAGTCTGCAGGTGCCCAGAATGAGCCGTGACCATGGCCCAGCTCAGGAGAAAAAGGGGGACAAGGAACATCACAGGCAGCAGCATGGGAGAACTCCTACCAGTTTCCAGAAGTGGGAAAAAATGGGAAAGTAAGAGGTGATGCCATGGACCCAGAGCAGAGTGCTGATTTCTGAGAAGTCAAGCAGCACACAGACAACTGTTCTCCTGACCACAGAGCGGACAGTGTATTAGGGCACCTCTCTCCCTTTTCCGTGGACAAGACACAGCAGTGGAGGGTGAGCAAGAGATGCCAGCTGCACGCTGGCCACTGCATCAGCACCTGCATGGGCCCAGGGTCCCGAACTTGCCTTCCTCTCCTTCCCTCCCAAAGCGATGATCATCCCTTCCCGGCAAGGAAGGAGGAAGGATGCTCATGCAGAGCACACTAAGTCCCAGCAGCTCAGGAGTCCATCTTGATGAAGACCTTGGGCCTTGAGAAAATTTTGATGGCCTCTTCTATCTGGAAGAGCTTCCTCTCCAGCTCTACCCGCCTCTTCTGCATGCTGAGGGTGTCTGCACGCATTGGCAGCATCACCAGGTCCTTTATTAGCTGCTCCTGGCCTGTAAAAAAAAAAAAAAAAAAAAAAAAGTTGTGTTAAGTGGAAGAGCAAAGAAATCCATCCTTTTCCTAATGCTATGACCTCATCCTCAGTCATGAAAATGGTGGCTGCACTAGAACAAGGACTTAGAATCCCATGCTTCTATTCAAAGCTCAGCTGGATGAGGACCTGAATGACCTGCTCCAGCTTTGAAGAACCAAGGGTTGGACTAGAGACCTCTAAAAGTCCCTTCCAAACAAAATCTTTCTATCATTTTAAGAGCAATAGTAACCCTAACATCACGTCCACCGGACAAGCCTGCTCCAAAGAGCCAGGCCTGTAACCTGCAGGTCCCACCAACCTGGAGATTGCTCTTTCCAATGCACACAGCTCAAGTGGTGCACAATCCCAGCTATGTGCCTTATTCCAGGCAACACTCCAAGTGGCAGGAATCTGTGCCCCAGAACTCTCTTCTCCCTAGTCCTGGCTAGGATTGCCTGTTTTTCTGAGCTGGAATCCCCATTTCTTTTCCTCTTACTCTGCTTCAGATTGCTGAGGGTCTCCAGCCGCTGGCCCTCAGGCATCATGGTGTGACCAGGTGGTGTGTCAGGATCTGGCAGGTTTCGCAGCTGCTCCTCCGTTTGCCTGCGCCACAGCTCCTTCCTCTCCAGCAGGCTGGCAAGGCAAACCGAGGCATGTGTCAGCACATGGCAGGAGAGGTCACCTGGGGATGCAGGCAGAGGCCAGGAATCGAGCTCTTCAAACCCCCAAGTCTCCATGTCGCTGCCTGAGGACCACACAGACCTGCCTTGCCTGCACATGCCCCTGCCACAGAGGGATACACCTGGGTTTAGCCTGCACTCATGGACTAGCAGACACGCTCCACATGCACCAAAGGGCTGCTGGAAGAGACACACTGATGCTGACACGAGCTCCCAGGAGATCAGAGCTTCTGCTCCTTGCTTCTGGCCCAGACTACTGCGTCCTCTCAAAGCCACCTGCAGGCCAGTGACAGAATGAAGTTGGACAAAGCAGCTCACATCCAGGGATGCTGGCAGAGAACAGCAGGCAGAGCAGAGCGCCAAACGACTGACACCGCAGTCAGTATGAGGACAGGGTCACCCAGGAACTGTACCCCACTCAGAAACCCCAAAAAACAAGTCACTACTTGGATGTTCCTCACACTCTGGGTCCCAGGCAGGATGAACACTTGCGAGGCAGAGCAAGCTATCTGCCTCCCCAAAACCAGACCTTTTAATACTGAAGCTTTGTCACCTGTAACAAGGCTTACGAAGGGGCAGGAGCACATTTCTCAGAGCACACAGAGCATCCCCACGTCAGTACAACAGCAAGGGAGGAGCAGACAAAATTCTTTCTGTGCCCACTCACACTCTCCATGAAGATGCTCGTTAAGAAACCAAGAGGGATTGCATTTATTCCCCAGGTCACAGTAAATTGTGCTATTTATCTATGGCAGGAGCACCTCTGTCTCTGGTCCCCTGCCTTTATAGGCAGAAGCTGGGGGATGTGGTGGAGGGAAGTGGGCTTGTTACAGCAAGTCCCATGGGCCAGAGAGGGGCATACGTACTACTGGGGGATGTGACCCTTTTGCTTGGCGTTGTACTCCTCCTGCTCCCGGTGCTTCTGTTCCAGCAGCTCTGCCAGCGCCTGCAGGGACTGGGAGCGCCACAGCGGGGCCCGCTTGGCGTTGCGGGCGTTGTGCGTAATGAAGTCAATGCTCTTGCCCTCCACGTGGATCTGGAAGAAGAGGGAGGGAGGCAGCAGGGGCTGGCTCGGTGCACGCACACAGGCAGCTGCCCTAATCCCCATAAGGGACAAAGCAAAGAGGCACCTACGCAAGATACAGAATGGCAGGTGTACTACAACAGGACAGGCCCATCCCATCTCAGGAGTCAGAGACGGGCAGGAGCTAATAGCCACGTTTTGAGGAAAAAAAAAAAAACAGTGCCAGAAACCCCTGGGGTGCCATGGTTTGCCTGGCACCAAAAGTCAGGCAAAACCTAAACCCCATCTTCTTGGGGTCCCCATGATCTCAAAGCCAGAGGGACAGGAAGAACCAGGCTTGACATAGTCCACGTGGCTCCTACTGCCTATCAGAGCAGGTTGGGGGAAAAACTGGTTGGGCCCCCACCAGACCAGTAAATGCAACAGAGCCCCTGGCAGAGCAGGAGCTTAGCTAGTCCTTGAGGGCATTTCCCCAGAGACAGCACCCTCCGTCACAGCTCCTCTTGTGGTCAAGACAGGGGAGAAGGTCACTGGATCTGAGTTTAAGGTTGTCTTGTTTTTCATCCTTAGGAGTTTATGCCCTGTTTAAATTAAGTCACTCCATGGCATTTGGGAACAGCAAACTGACAACCCCACACTTGCCAAGGGAAGAAGACATGAGTCACAGAGCAGTTTAGAACCTCCCAGACAGACTACCTGAAAGGTTTAACTGTTAATACTGATTTAACTCTCCATACTAAAAAGCACACCCACTTCCCAAATTTTTATCTAACGTCCAGAAGGTACAGTTCCTTTGATTAAGGTGGGAGCAGACTCCAAATTCCCCAGACATCCTGAAAAGCCCTGGGAGAAGCAGATTTGAGATCACTGGCACTTCTACAGCAAGGAGGTGGGATTTGCAAAGGGAACTTCATGATCTGTTTAACTATGAGCAAGGATGAAGCAAGAGGGTAGTATCAGCAAACCTGAACACCTGTCTTATCACCCCAGTGACCAAGGACCCTGCTCCTTCCCTTCAGCCAGGAACAGTATTTACAGATCTCCCTGTTGATGCAGCACATCTGACCCAATGCTTTAGAAGAACAGCAGCAGAGAAGTGTCAGAAACCCCTGGGATGGAAGCAGTTAGTGTGCGACTCACCTTGGTTTCAGCATCCAGTGGCTCTGGAGACTCTGTGTCTGCTCCTGCTTTCATTCTGGTAGGCCTTGGGGAGAGCAGTCTGCACGGCTTGATCCCAGGGCCACAGCGAGAATAGGCCCTCAGAAATTTCAGAGCCTCTGGATTTGGAGGTGGGGAGCTCTCCTGGGAAAGGCAAAAAAAACATCTACTAGCCGATGGAGGCTGGAGCAAAGACAAACCCACCCAGCAAACTTTGGGTGGTCAACCACAAGCTCAGCCACAAGTCTCCAGCAGGCCAGTGACAGCATGCTTTTTTTGCCATAACTTGGCAGAAGTTCTTGGGAGAAGGCGATCTGTACACAGCCAGCAAAGGCAAACAGACTGCCCACAGCAACAAATACAGACCTGGCAACTGGCTCTGTAAAGAAACGCAAAAAAAATAAAAGGGACAAAGTCTGCAGAAACACACATTTGGATCAAATGCACGTGTAGCATTGACTGGAGAGTCCCTCTTTACTGACTTATCTGGTAGGCATGAGAGGAGAGCAACACAAGATAACCCAAAAGAGACACCTACCAGAGCTAGGGACAATCTAAATGGATGGACAGGCCATACTGACAGTGATCATGACTCCTTAAAAAGCAAAAATCTCCCCGTGAAAAGGACAAATGACAGCACAGAGTGAGCATGCTGAAAGCCAAGACACACATGCCAGTCTCTCCTGTTGGCAGCACTGGAGAACTTGAACTCCCAGAAGCAGCCATCCCACCTCAATAAATCCAGAGCATGCTGCGCAGCCCTGCTACATCATGCTTTAATGAAATGGCACAGGTAGACATGAAGCTGACTGCTGAAATGCTGTTCTCAAGCGCTGCACTGCTCAACACCCCCATTTGTGGTTATGCTACTCTAGACAGAAAGAAAAGTGGAGAAGGAAGGAATCTGGTAGTTTTGGGAGGGTAGAATTGCATCTGAGAGGCATCTTCAAAGGCCATATTAGCACTGACACAAGGCTACTTCATGTCTAACAGTCAGTCTGGGGATTATCTCAGACAGTCTTGTTGCAAACAAACCCTGAAAACTGAAAATTGACACTGGCGAGTGGGTGATCTTATGATAAATGCAACTAGGGCACTGCTCTGCTCTTGGAAGTGACAGGAACTGTACAGGGCAGCCTCCAGATCTTTCCAGGTACCCATGGTCTCAGCTGCTCTCTCAGCTGAACTGTGGTCCTCTTGAGGCAGATCCCTTGTGGCCTGGTCCATTTGGATTGGCAGACCTGAAGGTGGGTCAGGACAGTCACATCAGTGGTGTTGGCATAAGGACCAGGGTACGTGATGACCTCAGCACTGCCCAGACCCATCACGCTCCAAAGATGATCAGCCTTGTTTCAACAGGAGCCAGGAGACACAGATCTCTCTGGTAAGTTAATGAGAAGTGCCTTTACCTAGCAAGGCTAGTTCGAAGTCTGTGATCTTGTGAGCGTGCTAGCAAAGCAGAGCACACCCTGCCTCCCTCCATGGGGACACTGAGATTGACAGGGCCCTTCTCAAGGAAGCTGCTACAATTAACAGCGCTCAGGGATGGATGAGAGAAAAGACACTCTGTGTTAGACATCAGGACCAAACAGAATCAACTTACAACTCTGAGCAGCATCAGCAGCTCCACAGAAGATGGAGATCTTTCAAAGGGAACACCTCAGTTCTAGGAGAGCCACAGCAACAGTTAAAGCAATGTGAGTCAGCACCAGGGCCTCCTGCCACCTCCCTCTGGAGGAACCCACAGAGCACAGGTAATGCACCACGCAGAAACTGCCTGCACAGAGACCACCCCCTTCCCCCAAAACAAAAGAAGAAATGATCTCTATCTTGCTCTAGCCCAGAGGATTTGTCAAAGAGCATAGGCTTGTATTCCTAAAGCACACATGGGTGTGCTCCTGGGTGTGGAAGGGTCATGGACATCAGCGAGGTTGATGGCACAGCAGGAAGAAGGGACACAGCATTTGTAACCACTAGCTTGGAAATAATCTTTCCAATTTTTGCAGTTGTTATCAATACATGCAATTTTAGAGTCAAAGATGGTCTGAGGGCCACAGACCAGAGGGAAGCGATGCAGAGATGAGGAGGAACTTGAAAGCTCCAAGTCAGCGAGGGAGCACCAAGGGAAGGTTCGTGTCATGGTGGTGCTCATGGTGTCACCCAGCTCGCACCACCATCTGCACAAGCAGCAGCTCCCTGCACTGCTCTGTCCACGCAGCCTGCTTGGCTGCAAAGACAGAACAGAGACAGAGACCACGAAGGCTACCAGGGACTCGCAGAAGGGCAAAGTCCTCTCCTGGCAGTTGATAATCCTGAAGCTGATGGGGATGCAGGATCCAACAGTGCAAGGCCACTCCAGAGAGCCAACAGCTTACCAGCCAAGGGCGCAGCCCTGCGCTTCCCCCTCTTCAAGGAGCTTCTTGCTGCTGAGCTAGGAGGGAATCCCAAGGCCTCTCCTCCAGGAGGTCACTATGAGAAGGGTGGGCACAACAAACCCCCCCCCCCCCGCTTGCTGCTGTGCAGGAACCCACCCCATCCACAGGAGCTGCAGTGCCTACTCCTGGGTGAAGGAAGAGGCTAACAGAGCACAGCAGTCACCTGGATGACAGGTCTCCCTGATCTAGACCGATGACACCAGATCCACCCAAAGACAGTGATGGAGCTCTCCTTTCCTCTCCCTGTAGGCCTTAACTTTACTTTCTGTACAAACAGATACACTTCTACCAAGGCAGCCACTTTGGTCCATTTTACAAAGCTCTCTGACAGAGGCACTATTTAAACACCAGGAAAACCCCAGGGGAGAAAAAATTGTCCAAAGAAAAAGAAAGAAGTCAAAAGAAATACAAAATGTTCACAAAGCCAGACAGCTGCTCAGAACATTTCAGCATTGGACATTTGAGCAGTTGGAAAAGCTTGAGGATACAACGCATGGCCCCACATCCCCTCTCCCACAAGCACGTGTACGGAGGACAGGAGGTACGTACGCCCTTGCAGGCGGTGCTGGAACTACAAGGGCTCCACCCTGACTGCCTGGAGATGTCTGTGTTCCCCCACTGCACAGCAGTTATTCACCAGTAGAATTGCTCGGAGAAGAGACATACAGCCCACAGAGGGTCCACACAGTGGGAAGAGCTGGCCTGAGGTTTGATGCAACCTGAAGACCATGATCCACGGGGCAGAATTCCACAGCCTTCTGGCACAAACCCCAGCCAAGTGTTGCACCACACTCTGGGAAGTTCAAAAGCCAGCTGGATGCACCTCTATATGGGGAATATGGCTGTGGGGGCTGCTCTGTACCCCCCAGGAATCACATTTAGGTCCCTAACAACCAAAGGGCCAAACAGGACTCCACAGGCAGATGGTGTGATAAGATTCTCCTCTCCTCAGCTTCCCCTGCATGGGGACTCTACTTGGTCAGACATGATGGGGATTAGTACAGCAACTGCACTCCAGACCCAAGGCAAACGCTCAGCACACAGCCCCACTGTCACATCTGCCCACCGTGCTTCAGCACCAAGTTGCCCTCAGACCCATAGGTTCTGGGACTCCCCCATCTCCACCATCCCACAGAACCTCATGGCTGACCCACATCCCAGGCCAGGAGAGTCTGAGAGCTCAATTGGTACTGACCTGCAGTTTGGCCTTCACCTTTGACTCCACATTTTCATATTTCTGGGATTTCCACAGAGCTTTCACAGGCTTGGGCTGACTGTGCTCTTGGGCTCTCTCCTTCTCTTTGCACTTCTTCTGAATCTCCTTTATTCGCCTCACATTTTCCTTCTCATGGTCCTTGGACTCTCTCCCTGCACAGCAAGGGGAGACACAGCCTGCACCCCTCATGCACTGTCAAGAGATGCAGGTTCCTGGAGCGCTGGCACCAGAGCCCACAGCTCTGTCTCCAAAGCTGGTCCAACCAACCATAGAACCAGCAAACTCTCCCCTCTCCTGCAGACTAGATAACCCGTGCATTTTTTCCCATATTAGATGCACACTCCTGGACTGACCCTCTTCTGCCAGAGGATCCTACAGTGCCCAGCTGAGCATCAGTACAGGTGTGTGCACATTACTGTGTTCAGAGACTCCCTTGTTCTGAGAGGATGGCTCCCTTGCCCCATTCTGGACAATGCCAGACAAGCCATGCCAGCATCCCCTCGAGAGCAAGGTCAGGTCCCAGTTCAGCATCCCACGGTGTTTCTAAAGCAAAGAGGGGGCTGGTTAATGGCAGCTGCAGAGCCTTAAACCTGTGCTGTTCCTGTTTTCAGGGTCAGCCATTGTGCCACATTCAGGGGGAGATAATCAAGACTATGGATTGTATTTTTTGTTTTCAAATTGAAACTGATCCTTCCTTGGGCTCCCCAAGACAGGGAAGATCTCAGCTGACACAACCAGACCCCCTTCCATTCCCCTCCTGCTTTGGCACAGCAGTTGTGGCACCCCCCATGCTGGCACCAGACAGGGCTAGAGGCAATGCCAGCACATGAAGTAAATCAAATGACACCCAGTGCTCAGTTTTGTCTCCTTCCTGGACTTCTGAATGTACTCTGGGTGACCTCCCTGGAGAAGGGAACATCTTTCACAAAGATATTCTCAGTATCCACATATGCAGACAGTCTTTCCAAATCCTGCCTGGCTTCACTAACAAGTAATTCCCCAGGCTAAACATCCTCTGTACATTAACATTGCACCTGATCCATCTTTAGGTTTGACTATAAAGATACTGGTTATATTTAGAGGCAGCAAGCAAGGAGGGCTCGATTTATTTCCAACATCTCTCAACAGTCTCTCATCCATAACTGGTTCCTCAAGTCCAAATTAAACAGCATCTTTTTCACAGTGCCTCCTCCCACTGCAGACCTGGGCTGGAGTGGAGTCAGGGAGGCTGCAGCAGCAACCAGCTCCAGCACAGGCAACAGCCAGGGGATGCCACTGCCAGGCCAAACACAGGAGACAGAGCGTTCAGCCCCAGGAAGCTCAAGTTCTCTTCAGGCAGCAGAGCCCAGGAACCCACTCAAATCCCTGATGCTTCACCCTGGCCCCAAACAGAACTCAGGCCAGCTGTGCCTCAGCTGTACTTACTCTTGACTGGCAATCCCCCATCAAGGCAGATCCCTTCAAGCTGCAGTAAGAGACTGAGCGTACCCTTCTGTCCCTTCTCCAGGAAGTCCCTTCCACTGGGACGAATGCGAGGGACTGGCTGGGCCTGGCGGGCACTGCCCAAAGCAGGGTATGGGTTGGGAACCGGGTCCAGGGGGTCAGAGGTAAAATCCTGCTTCTGATCATTCCCTTCCAGCCTCCCTCGAGCTACAGAGAAAGAAAGAGAAGGGGATTATCAGGGAAAAAAATTTTACTTCGTGGTTTTCTTCACCCACAGCCTACAACCAACACTGAAGACCCCCCCTCCACCTCTACCTTATGCTTTCCCATCTTTCAACCAGTACAGCCCACCTTTAGGATCACCATCTGTGAGGCAGCAGAAACACCTGCACCAGTGTGAGTGGAAACTGTTGAGGACACCAAAGAATAAGGACATCATCACACAGGCAAGCTGAATCGTGCCAAAGTACAAAACTGCACATCTGGAACAAGCATCAGGGACTCACCTGAGAAGGGGCGTTTATAATAGTTTGGAAAGAGCGTAGGGTCTGGAGGGATGGGTCCAGAAATCCTGGATGGCCCTTCACACATCCTGCCGTTGCTCTGCCTCTGCCACGGAAACCAGCTGCCACTGAGAACAGAAATGAACAGGGCTCACTGAGCCACTGAGAATCTACATTTAATATATATATAGGTGAACTTCTGACTTTCATTAGAGAGCTCACACCCAGCTACAGAGATGACCTGCAAGTAAGAAACCACCTGAAGTTGTAGTCCGTGCTGGTGAGGCAAGGGATCCAGGAGCACTGTCCCTGCTGAGGGGCTAATCAACGGTTTTACCAGCATTGAACCTGAAATGTCTGCAGTTGCTGTAATATCGGTATCTTCAGTACAGAAAATCCTCCCTGGCTTTCTCTCCCCCACAGGAACATTTAATACAGACATGAAAGCAGGAGCTGAGCAGCTATAAGCACCCTGTATGCCTTCAGTGAACAGGAAGCACACCCAGCGGGACATCAGCTGACACATTTTAGCCTTATATTTGAATTATCTTGCACCTGGGGCTCTTTCTAAATATATTGCTCCTGTGGTTCAAACACAAGCTACCCAAAGCAAGCTGAGGCTCCTGCCCCACACAGATAAACCCCTTTGTTGTACCCTCTGTGAGAGACACACCAGCGCTGTCACCACCCTTGAGCAGGCTGGGACTAAACCTTGAAAGGACCTGAGAAAAAACACTTCCCTGCAGGACAGCGAAGGGGCAGACGCTTCATTTTTGGGGAAGAGTCCTGAGACAAAAACAGCCCAGCTGTCTTTCAGCTCTTGCGAAGAATGGAGAGTTACCTGTTTAGAAAAACGTCTTTTTCATTTCTAAATAACTTTTCAATGCAGATCAACAGGGGCCAGCACAGATCTGCAAATCTCTGTACTGGCCAACACCAGTCCCTGCTGCCTCTCTCCTCCCCAGCACAGGCAGAGCACAGATCCTTCCAGCCCAGGAGCAGTCAGCCCCTATTTTCCTGCAATGCTCACCAAAATCTCATGGACAGCATTTTATTGCCTACAAGAAACTTGAGGGGCTTGCTCCCTGCTCAGAAACGAAGATGCTGCACCCACAGGCACAGACTCTGGGTGAGCTTTTGGCAGATGCCACAAGAGCCTGGGTACATCATCAGAGTCATGCCATGATTTTGACAGGCGCCAGGGCAGCTCGGCTGGAGTCACTGCTGTAAGAGCTGGGGCTACAACCTGCATGCCCTGACTCCCGGGGCAGTAATTTAAAGATTTCTGAGACAGCTCTACGGGAAGAACCCCTTTCAGGATCCTCAGCATGCCAGCACTGATGGGTCACAGCATCTGCAGTTTAATTTATAAACGGATAAACGATCAGCACAAGACTGAGTGAGTCTGACTCATAGCAACTAATGCACTGCAGTCTTCTTTGCTAAATCACCCCTGTTGACATGAGACCCATTAGCAAAAAGCTGTTATTCATCTCCCAGACACAACTGCAGAGGCAATGTAAGCAATGCTGACTACTGCACACCAGCATGCATGCACAGTCTGTACCTAGCTACTCTGAAAAAGCTGGTTTTGAAAAGCAGACACAGACTCTAGCCTGGGATAAAAGGACACTGTCTTGGTACTATTTAATCTCCTTGATAATGGATCCAAGTAAGCCAGAACCGGCTCTCTTATTCTAGGGAAAAAAAAAAAAAAAAAAGCATGTTCACCATGAGATCACTTCAGAACACCTACTGGCCTCAAAATTCACATCTGATCTTGATGTGAACTTGCCTTCAAACCCAATAATTTACACGCAAAATGACAGGCTGAAATCAAGATCTTTAACAGAACAGACAATTAGTGCAGGGGATTGAAGAAGGAAAGGCAAACTGATGGGAAGCGGGGGATGGAAGGCTCATTGTACACCTTCACACAAGTCACATTTCACATCCCAACAGCACCCTGCCCTGCTGCAGGGAATTTTCAAATGACACCCACTCGCTGATTTGCAAGTCACATCACCTCTGGATTGGGATCTTGCAAGATCAGACAACCTTATTACAATAGTAAGCATCTTGCCTATCTAGGTACCTACAATCAAACTCACCTACGCGGGACACAAGCCCCCAGCTCGTCTCCCAGCCCTGAGAAGCAGCAGCCAAGTCACAGTTACCAATGATCAGCACAGACTTCCCAGGCTGCTGCTCTGCTCCAGCCAACCACGGGTGTATTTGGGGGACACAAGAGAGAACCTCATGGCTCACTTCTGCCAAAAGGGGATGTGTAGACCTTCTCCGCAGTCACTCCCATTCTTCTGCTTCATCTCTTGTGACAGCTCTGTAGTGCAGATGGTCCTGTGCTGAGCTGATTCAATTTACCACCCCTATACGAAACAAGCTATCTCTTTTGCTGGATTTTCTGCCCATTTAACCTTCTCTCCAAAAGTAACCTGGCTGTTACCTCCCTGGGGGGCTCAGAAAAAGCACAAGGAAAACAGCAGGAGCATGTGCCTATCAAGGCAGAGGAGGAAGGAAGAGGGCATAGGGTCAGCCCTTTTCAGCAGTGACCCAATCGCTGTCTAATTTGCACCCAGAAAACTATCTTCTCTATTACCATGTTAGAAACCTAAACGTCACGGATACAGCACCCGACCTGTTGCCACCAGATAGGAGCTATTTAGAGGATTCCCAGGCCATGAGATGCTGGCAGAATCTGCAAACACAGTCTGGTTAAATCCAGGTAAACAGATTGTATGTGTGCAACTCCCCTCTCTTCTTAACCCCCGCCAGGCTGCAGAGCTCGCTAGGGAAGCAGCAACACTGCTCCTAGCCACAGGGCTGCACCAACCCTGCTCTCTGCCCTGCACAGCTACAACAGACATTGTTGCCAGAGTAACCCAATGATTTTAGCATTGCTTACTCATCCAGTCTGACCCAGGACAGCTGCTCCCTTCCCCACCAGGACCACAGCTTAATCCTGACCTAGGACTCAAGCAATGCTGGCTCTGGCCCTACCTCCCCCAGAGCGTCCCTGTAAATTTAATAATCATTAATTCAACTCTTTGTGCCCTTTGCCTCAGCTTACCAAGTGATAAAAATGCTACTTATCCCCCAGGTAAACTGAGATCCTTCAGAGGCCATATGAACCACAGCTTCCTTTAGTGGCTTGGTTTTGGCATCATAGTTAAGGAAACTACAAAACATGGGAACAGACAAGGCGGTGGCAGGTGTTTTTAATAGCCTTGAACCTGCTGCATCTGACTTTGAAGCATTCCCTCTCCTTCACAGACCACATTTTCACTGTGCCTGGGTCCCTGGCCAGGAAGCTACTACCACACACAGAGCTGAAGCCAGTCCAGCTTCATGCCTTTATGAGCCAACCTCAGCAAGCATGGGAAAAAAAATCCCACAACGGTGATAAGCTCTGATAAGCAGAGCAAGTCATCTGCAGCAAATCAAAGGGCTAATCTCTGTACAGCTGGTCTTGGCTGTTTGCTTCCTTCCTCAGGAGTTTTACCTGAAATGGAAAGTAGCACCAGGATAGCCTTTGTGCCTGAGAGCTGCACCAAAACGGGGGGGACATACATCTGGTACCATACCTCCTGCAGAATCAGGGGTCAGGAAATAAGGTCAGTGTGCTGTGAACCTACCCAGTGATGTTAGTCTATTTCTATGCTTTCCTGTTGCAGACTGCAATGGGGGAGATTAATATTCCCCTTTTAATACTCTTCCCCATCCAGATTACCTTGGGTACCATGAGCTCCCCACCTGCCAGACTCAGGAGCCACTTCCTCTTTTGTCTCCCTGAAAACAAAGAGGGACAAGTACAGCTAATTGTGACACTGGTGTCTGCAAGCGGGATGTGTTCCTTAGGAGTGGGGCATGTGACCACCAGCAGCCCTTTAGGAACAAAGCCAGCTGGTGCAGCCTGCCCAAGGAGTCAAACGTGTGTCCTGCAGCAGCAGCTTTCGGCACTGGAAGGTGCCGTCCCCGGGCAGGACAGCGCCCTGCGGGTTCGCTCTGCGGGGAAGGGTCAGCCCCCTCCGTGCCCTCGGCCCCCCTTTCTGCGGGGCTCGTGGGAGGATCCTGCCAGACCTCCCTGCACCAGCCTCAGGGCCCGGGGTGCAAAAATTGGACGAAATCCCGTCATTTTCCAGGCTGCAGGTTTGAGGGACGGGCCTTGGTGCTGGTTTTCGTAGAGACCGCGGCAGCGTCTGTGGGTAAGGGGCCACCAGGGTCCCTCATCCCCACCATAGCAGGGCTGTCGGCAATGCCAGCTGGCAGCCGTGTCCCCCTGCCCTGCTGTCCCTGCGGATGGAGACCCCCCACCTCCTGCTGACCCCTCCCAGGGCTGCAGCATCCCCAGGACCCCAGAACCTCTGTCACCACTGCAGCCAGACCTGTCAGCCCAGCTCCACTGTCCCCCAGGTGCCAGGGAGCATCCCCTGGGCCCTCTCTGGTCCCTGCACCTCCCTTGTCACACAGGAGCTCAGATCTGGGAGGGCTACTGCTGCTGTGTCCCCAGCAGCAGTTAATGGTCCTCCAGAGTCTCCTGCCCAACTGTTGCCCGCAAACCCATCTCCAAAGCTGAGCCCAAGGGAGACTCAGAGGGGAGAGATGGGAAGGATAGGCTCCAAGTGACCTGGCTCATCCCATTACCATGGCTTAAAAAACTCACAGCTGGCTTTCACAGCTTTCAGTGGCCTATGCCAGTCCTTCCCCCACCGCCTTCTGAGCACAGAGCTGCTTTGCCAGAGGTTTCATGGCTGGAAAAGGAAACTGGTGTGTGTGGGAAACAGTGGTGAAACGTTCAGGGCGGGTAATCGGTGCCTGCAGCCTCTCAGGGTTGCAGTTGTTCAGTGGAAATGGTAAAATCGTGTTTGGGTGTCTTTAACTGGCAAACTGCCCCCTCTCATTCCCGGTGGAAAGGGGGGGCAATGCCAAGGCTTTGGCTAGGGGCTGGGTGCTGATGGCTTGAAAGAGGTACAAGGTGAGCTGGGGCGGTTGGGGTCTTCTGGTGGCTCAGGCTGGGGTAGAGAGCTCCAGCACCTGATGTGTTGGGAGGTTTTCACCTCCCTGCATCCCCAGGTGTATCGGGAGAGCTCCTAGGGCCGGCTGTTTTGGAGCATCTTGTGAGGCCTTGTGCTGGGCAGAGCTCAGCCCCCCCAAAGCTGCTGCTTGGTCCTGGGACTGGGGGGAGGAACCACCACCCCAGCAGCTCAGCAGGGAGAAGCAGCCAGCGCCTGTGTTCCTGAAGCGGGGCCTTGCCTGAGTGCTGTGCACCAAACCAAACACTCATAGAGATACTGGTCTGCACACAGCCCCCACTGGTGGCCTAGAGCATCTGACATGTCAGCCCCAGTGCCAGTGATGGAGCCTCCCATCCTGCTGAGGAGTCCTGAGGAGAGGCAGCACCGTGGCCACGAGCCTGGGCACATCCTTGCTCAGCTGTCTGCAGCCCTGGAGAACCCAGACATCAAAGCTTTGGAGGTGAGGATGATGCCGTGTTGGACATGAGAGTTGCAATGAGCACAGGCTTTGTTCCTGCGTGCCACAGCATGGCACTTGCCCCAGTGCAAGCCTTGTGCCAGAACAGGGGGTCCTGGAAGGAACAGGCAAAACTTTTAGCAGAGGGGATGGATGTCCCTGGGGCAGGGTCTGCTCTCCAGAAACAAAAGGCATGATGTTACTCCCAAGCCTTTCTCAAACTGAGAGTAAATGACCACAAATAGTTATGTGCAAGATTCTAGTTAAGCTGCATGAAATGGCAGCTGAATAATTTCCAGCCAAATCCTTGTAGGGTGGTTTTTCTGCCCTGATGGCATGCTCAAAAGGGTGTCCTCAGCTGCTGTTTGGGGCCTGGTAGTGTCACCATGGGTGATGGGGGAAGGGGGGGGAAAGTGTCAAGGTGGCAACTGGAGCCCTGGGAGGGTCAGTGGAACTTGTGGGACCACCCAGCCCCGTTGTCCCACCCACCAGCCAGTCACTGCAGCAGCACAGGTTGTTTCCACTCATCAGCCAGCTGGGCTCACATCTACGACCTTGGGGCCATATTGGGTGTCAAACTGAATCCGTGTGATTATTGATGGCCAGCAAAGGCTCCAAGCCACAGTGGCAGGGTCACCCATGCCAGGGCCTTAGGAAAGCAGGTGCAAGGACTGGCAGGACAGGAGCATCGCTCATCAGCACTGTCCCCCATGTCCGCCACAGTGGTCCAAGGATGGGCAAGGTGTCCTTGTCCACACCAAGTTGTACAAGAAGCAGATGGAGAAGAACAAAAACCTCTTCCCAGAGCTGGCAGATCTCAGCTGTGTCACAGCACTGCAGACCTGGCTGCTAGCCCACGAGTTCAAACTCAAGGAGGTAAAGTAAGTCACCACGTCTTCTTCATGAGCCAACATCCTGCTGCAACGCAGCCACAATCAGCATGCGAGGAGCAGCTAGCAGTAAGACCCAGGTCTGCCTTGGGCAGGCTGTGTTGTACGAGGGTGAAACAGGGTTGGGAGGGAGGGATGAGCATGGAATGGAAGATATTAGGATCCAGGATTTGTGCCTGGACACCATTCTGATTAGGTTTTTATTTTGTTGATCATCAAGGAGCTCTGTAGTAATTTTGGGAGTTGCTTAGAGTTTAAAAGCGCAGATAAACCAGAGAAGTGTGGAAAGGGAGAAAGACAAAGAATTGCAGGGTTCACCATAGAAAGAGAAATGGCCTCTATGGCAATGCAGTAGTCCTGAGTCACCCATCAGCCACAGTCAGTGAACACCAGCCACAGCCCAGCCCAGCCAGGGAGCTGAGTCAGGGCACCCAGGGCAGGAGCAGCGAAGTGCTGGTCCACCCCAGGGCACGGCTCTGCTGTATAGCACAGGCACAGACCACGGGCAAGGGCTGCGCTTGGACACAGCTCCCATGCCAGGGCAGGGACTCTGTGCCCTACTGCAGCCAGACCCCGAGCTGGCTGTGCCCCACTGCTGTTTTCTGTCCCACAGTGTCAACTTGCAAGTGCTCCTGTTTCAGCACCCCAATTTCCAGAAGGCACATCCCAGTGCCAAGGAGCTGGGCACCCTTGGAGGTGATGCCAGCCTCTCTGCCAAGCAGGAGCAGCAAAGGAAGAGACATGTGAGGAGACTGCACCCTCCCAGAAGGGCCACAGCCCAGGACACACAGAGTAAGCAAGGCTGGTGGCTGCAGCCTCATCTCAGGAATGATGCTGAGGCTGGATCCACAAAGCAACAGGGTGATCCCCAGCCCTTCTGCTTCTCCCAGACAGCCCCGTGGGTCACATAATCCCAGAATCATTCAGGTTGGAAAAGCCCCTCGGGATCATCAAGTCCAACCCTCAGCCCGACTCTACAAAGTTCTCCCCTACCCCACATCCCCCCACAGCTCATCCAAACGACCCTTAAACACACCCAGGGATGGGGACTCCACCCCCTCCCTGGGCAGCCTGTTCCATTCTCTGACTACTCTTTCTGGGAACAAATTTTTTCCTCATGTCCAATCTGACCCTCCCCTGTTGTAGTTTCAAGCTGTTCCCCCTTGTTCTGTCACTAATCACCTGTGAGAAGCGACCAGCACCAACCTCTCCACCATGTCCTTTCAGGGAGCTGCAGAGAGCGATGAGGTCTCCCCTTAGCCTTCTCCTCCTCACACTGAACACTCCCAGCTCCTTCAATGGCTCCTCACAGGATTTACTCTCCAGGCCCTTCCCCAGCCTCGCTGCCCTCCTCTGCCCTCGCTCCAGCCCCTCGCGATCTCTCTTGTATTGAGGTGCCCAAAACTGGACACAACACCCCAGGTGTGGCCTCACCAGTGCAGAGCACAGGGGACTGTCACCTCCCTACTTCTGCTGGTCACACTATTTCTGATACAAACCAGGATGCCGTTGGCTTTCTTGGCCACCCGGGCACACTGCCAGATCATGCTCACCTGCTTGTCAATGAGAGCCCCCAGATCCTTCTCTCCCAGACAGTTCCAGCCACCCCTCCCCCAGCCTGTAGCCATCCAGGGGGTTGTTGTGGCCCAAGGGCAGGACCTGGCACCTGGCCTTGTTGAAGCTCATCCTATTAACATTGGCCACCGATCCAATCTATCCAAGGGTTGAGTGATGAAAGGAGCTCTGCCACTGGCAAGTTTCCAGGCAGGCATGGTGATGCCCAAGCAATTCCTCCAGCTGCTGTGCTGTCTCAGATGTGGCCATGTACCCCTGGCTCTTATCCCACCAGGCAGCCTCACCTCAAGGGCATCTGCCTCCCCCTGCAGCCCCTGGCTCCCCTCTGGGAGGGTTAACAGTCTTCCTCTCCTCCCAAGCTGCTGCAGCCTGTGAGCTGCCTCAAAGCCCTGGCAGGGAAGGGGGTGGCAGCATTGGGATCTTCTTGTACCTCTCCAGGAAAACAGCCCCACCTACGCCCCTTGTACCAGTACATCAACCTCAGCATGCCAGAGCTGATGCAACCATCAGCAGAAGATGATGATGTCCCAGTGCTGGCACAGCCAAGCCAGGCCCCTGCACCCCCCAGGAGGGCAACTGCTTCACAGCTGGAAGGTGAGCTCTAACAAGGTTTGCCCAGGCCTTATGTTCCCCAGGATGCTGGCCTTGGCCTGCCATCCCCCCCCAGAAATGGATGCTTTGCCCCTGCCTGTGCAGGCTTTGTCACCTTATCCTGTTTCTTCCACCCTTGCCCCTAGCTTTTAGAGAAGCAGCTTAGATGTCTCTGGGTCACCATTTGCAGCAGCTCTGTCCTTAGGTTTTCTCTTGAAGCTCTAAGGTGACCCAGCCAAACAGAGCAGGACCTTTCCCCCTAGGACAGCACTCTTCAGTTGACTCCACAGTCTCCAGCTTCCAGAGTTGTTTTCCAGGACTTGGTGGAACAAAGCCAAGGCCAGCCTGAGCCGGAGCTGGTGGCAGGCCTATGCCAAGCAGGAGATCAGGCTGGAGACCCAGAGCAGCTGCCTGACCCACACTGCCAGGACCTGGCACCCAGCTGGTGCAAACACTCAGCCTGTCTCTGAGGAGCTGGCTGGGCTGTTGAGGCACTCACTCCTCTTGCAGATCCCTAGGCCAGCAGTGCTCCCAAGATCCCAGCCCCAGAAGCAGGTGACGAATTCACGCAGGTTAATATTGAACGGATGCTCCAATCTGCAGCTCTGGTGTCACTGCTCCTTCCTCCATCTGAATAGCTGTGCAGCTTTCTGCCTCCTGTTTGACCACTACGGCCTGATCTGCAGGGTGGTGAGAATCACCTGGCCCATACAAACAGCTCTGGGCTTATTGATTTTCATCCCTTGTTGCAGAGAACCTGATTTGCCAGGAAAAAAAAAAAGCGCTAATTTTTCATTACAAAATATACCTTGCATGCCCTATAATTCCTTCCTCATGGGTGAAAAGCAGGCTGCTTTTCCCTGATGCAAATGGTGCTGACTGGCAGGTGCTTCCCCTGTGTCAGCCAAACAGGGACCGCCCAGGGGAATCCAGGCTCCACCACAGGGACCCACCTCAGCCCAAAGAGGGCTCCTTGGCCTCCATCCCACTCTGCCTGCGTGGGGCAGCTGGAGGCTGTGGCCAGCCCATGAGAAGCCCATTTCACCTCTGTATGCTTCTGCAGTCAGGTCTCTTGGTCTTGGCACCCTCTTTCCTTCACTGGGATCATCTGGAGATGTTTTGTGCTTCCTTCTCCTGTAGGAGTTGTACTTTAGGGTTTTCTGCCTGGTACAAGAACACTGACACAAAGGTTCTCAGTTCAAGGACAGCTTCAAAACACATCCAAAGTGCATGAAATCAGGCAGAGCTGTTCTGTCTGAATGAAGGCGGCAACTCCCAGGTGAGTTCAGTAGACATTATCTCACCTGCTTTACATAGCACACAGACATCACAGACATCAGATGCTCAAAGCTACGGCAGGCGCACCAGTCCTCTACCTGTAAAGGAAGGTTTGCAGAGATGCAGCTTTCACCACTCCACCTGTGAACAGTGAACAAATTCCAGTGTCTTCATCCAGCTCACAGTAGAGACAGGATTGTGAAGAGCACAGGAGCAGCCACGCTCCTACCCTTTAAAACAGCATAGCAGTAGACTTGTTTCTGTCAGAGTTCTAATGTATGAAAGTAAACACCCAAAGGTAAACACCTGATTTGCACACTGACCAAAGAAAATGGTCCCATCAATACTGAAGAGATTTTGTTTCAGTTGGTGTCTTCCAGCAACTTCAACAAGGAGTCAGGCAGAAAAGTAAAGAACCTGTTACTCAGAAAAGTTGACAAGGTAAGTCCAAGATAGGCAAGAGGATCTCTAAAACCAGCTACTCAACAGCTGCAGTCTGAGGGAAAGAGCAGAGGTAGGGAATAGATCTTCTGGTGGGACTTAGTTTTCCCTGGTGATCAATGGAGACACTTGCTAGGAAAGCACAGAGCTACACTGCTTAGACCTCACAGAGCTTCTTCCACACACAAACCACCCAGCTGGCAGCAAAAGGGCACCAAGGTAGGGAAGGACACAACAGGTACTGAACCCCAGGGGTAAGGCTTCTGTTCACATTTATTTGGATGGTTTCAGCTTGACCAAATCAAACACAAGCACACAGCTGCATAAAGAATGCCCTCAACAAACACAACTTTTTATTTCTGTAGAAAACGGTATTTTTCAGGAAGGACCAGCTTATGAAACAGCAGTTTGCATGTTAACAGACATAAATACAGGGTTACAATTGAGTGGGAAATACATTTAAAAAAACCCTTTCAAGTACACAAAATAAACATAGTAAAATTGGATTATCCCTTCCACATACCTGCCTCAGAGAGAAACATTTCCCAAACACAATGAACTGCCACCAGATCTCTCCACTGGACACCAGCTGCAGGAGGGTGTGAGTATGGGCAGGGCCAGAGGGTTGATATCCAGTGTTTGAGATTGAGAGCAGACTTACCCATGACAGTTCAGTCCCCGTTCTCTCAGCTATCAGGATGTGTGTAGTGTGACAGTTACCCAGCCAGCACGTTAAAGAGAGCTGCAAGAGGTTGGAAATACCTCCTTACTTCCATCTTCAGGTCCCCAGAAGGTTAATGCTGTACAACTTCTTTATCCATGACATGGTGGAGATCCCATGACCCTGGAAGGCATTTATTAACAGTCACAGAAATGAGAACATGGCCCCGCAGACACAGCACCAGTGCTGCCAGGCAGTAAACACAAACGACGGACAGAGCTTATGGAAAGGAGCTGCTGGATGCAGGCAGCCCCTTGAGTAGAAGGAATAATGTCTACAGATATGGAAGAACAGCACAAATCACCAGACTTCCTGAAGATCTTCCTGCCAAGACATCATCAACAGAGAATTCATAGCATCATTTAAATGAAGTGCCAGTTCAAATGAATCTGAAAGTATCTGCCATGTGCAGGAAGTCAAACAGCTGATCCTTATGTTACAAGCTTTAATCCGTTCCTCTACTTTTTGTCCTATAGGAGTTTAGAGACCTGTTACATCACTAAACTCTTTTATAAATTTTTACAAACTGAGGAATAAAACTTAAATCAGTCCCTAAGAGAGAAGGAAAAGGCATCTGAACAACAGATACTCCCTGATCTTGCTCTACATGCTCTCATGTTAAAATTGGTAAAATAAGCAACCTGTACAACAGGGGTTGTGTCCCATTTCCAAGCCATGCAATGGCAGAGATCCCATGCTTTACTTCATCTACTGCAAGTGCAAAGGGCAATTCAAGTTTTCCTACCAGTCTCCAAGACAAAAACATTTGCAAAAACAGAAACATTTTAAACTCTTTAAACAATTTAAATCAGAACAGTTCCTATCAGAACATGACATACTTTACACATTTATAAAAACCAAAGGTTATTAAATAAGAATCTACATATCTTAAAAACAGAGGTTTTTTTACTTTACAGCCAGAAGTGTTAATTGTCCTATCTTCCAAAGCAGGAATGCTCATAAGTTATTTCTTTGAAGTGCCTCGCAGAGGTTTTGATTGGCATCTGGTTCCTCAGTCATCACCTCCACAGCCTCCCACTCCCCTGACCTGCTGGATTTCTTGATGGCCTCTACTACACTTTGCATGTACAGACCATCTTCAAAGGAGGCTGCCATAGAGACAGGTTTATGATCCCATGTCCGACGGTCTTCCTGGTCTTGGAAAGATTGCCGCAGTGCCTGCACCATGTACACCATTCCTTTTAGGTAAAGCAGCGGGATGTCTTTAAATCCCTTATCCAAAAGGCCCTTGTTGACAGTCAGAGAGTCTGTAAACAGTAGTTCTTCTTGGAGCGCGGTGTTTTTCTGCCCATACAAGTCTGTCCCACGAGCTATGAGGCGACCAGCAGACCCAACAATCATGACTTCATGGATGAATGATCCAGGCATGTTGAAGTTGAGAGTCACAGTGCAACAGACACCTTCGCTCATCAGCATCTGGAAGAAGCAGAAGTCATCGCTAGTGACATGGCGGATCCCGCTTATAGCTGTGTTCTGCTTCACAAAAGTCTTCAGCAAACCATGGACCTTCTCTGCTCTCCTGCTGATGAGGTGTGTTAGGAGGTCGATAATGTAGGTTCCCATCGTATGCAGACCGCCTCCTCCCATCAGCTCGTCACAAATCCAGTTGTACTTGTGGCTAAGCAGGCTGCCCCCATAAACTCGTACGTCACAGATCATCACATTGCCCACATAGTGTTCTTCTATCAACTGCTTCATCTTCACAAAGGCAGGCAGGAAACGGAGAACATTGCCAACGATGCTCATCAGCTTGGGGTAATACCTGGCAGCTGTGACCATCCTGAAGGCATCCACAGAGGTAGCAGCTTTCTCACAGATCACATTCTTCCCTATTCCTGCAGCACAAATGGAAAAAAAATATATATACATACATAGCACACACAAGTGAAACATGCTCAGTTGCCCCAAAGGTTGTCAAGAAGTGGGGTTTTTAAGAGTCAGACTTTCCTGCTGCAACTTCAAAGGTAAACGTCTGGGAACTAAAATAGGAAAGCTCAAAGCTGCTTCCAAGATGCTCTGGTTGCAGAGCTGACAAACTCCCACAAAGACAGGCTCCAAATAAAGAGAGGATTTTTAGATTTTTACATGATGAAAGATAAATGGCCAAATGGCATCAAAATAAGATACAATTTGCATGTTGTAGCTATAAAGTTATTTGAATGCCTGTATAACCAGAGGAAAAAAACCTGTCACATACCCTGCAGGGAAGAGGTGAGCGAAGAGATTTGATTTTCACTTTGTATTCTGCCATCACTATGAATTTAATATTTTAATAGGACATACAAGATACTCATTGGTTTGTGTACAGAATACAAGAACTATAAATAATATTTTGGTAGGTTAAATGTTTTAAAAGCATCATTAATTGGAAAGCAAAAGGTTTTGGTCTTCACGTACAGCCTGCTTGTACAATTAGACTGCAAAGGTGACCGAGTTCCACAAATGAGAGCTGCACTCAGAAGCTGACCCACTGCATTTCCATTGCTGCTGATGCACTTTATCTTGTGTTCAGCCTGAATCAATGTGGGCAGTCAGAAATTTATTTTTTATCTTTAAAGCAGAAATGAAGTAATACAAAAGAGCATCCCAGTACAAATTTTAACCAAATTCCTATATTTGGTGCTTTGCTGGTATTCCCTCTTTCCTCATCTTCATCCTTTTTTCATGGAATGCCTTAACTCTTCCACATATGTCTATTCTGATAAAATACTTATCTAAACATTTCTCAACGTAACATCCAGGGGTATACCTAGAAGTCTCCAGACATTAAGTGGTGATGTCAGACCTGAAGGTCAGTCACATCATGCTACAGTTTCTGCCTCAGAATTGCAGAATTGCTGCACACGGTGGTAGGCACTCTCTGAAAGCTTCTCCTCACCCAGGAGCAGACCGTGCTCCCTGCTCAGAGCAGCTTTTAATTGACTCCCTGATAAGAAGCTACCAGCCCAAGTGCTTCGATTGGTCTCTTGCACACGAGGGGAAGCCGGGTCCCACACTGCGGCTCCTGCTCTTAGCACTCCACCTCCTGGCTGCAGCGAGCAAAGCCTTTCGGGAACCACCTCAGCGGTCCAGGGGCCAGCAAGGTCCCGTGACACATCGCTGTGCCCACCTCAGCCAGGAGACAACAACAGCTAGAGAAAACTCAGAACCTGTACTTCTAATACACACAAGCAAAGCCCAGTCAGAAAATTACAGGACTACAAATTGTAGTGGTCTTATCCAGAGAAATCCTCTAAATAGAGTCAAAAGAACCTTTAATGAACAAAGGGCGAGGTCAAACTTCCTGCGATCAACCTGGCTGCCCACTGGTAACCCCCCCACCCCATGTCAGAGACCATTTCTGACTCCCCAGTCCCCAGTCCTGCCGCTGAGACAAGGCACAATGCTCTGTTCCATATTCTGCAGGGCTAGCTGAAGCATCTTGAGATGGTTCAGTGACTGCTTCATCCACCTTCTTGTTTAGATGACACTTACCTCAAGCCAGGTTACAGTGAAATACAAGCAAAAAAAAAAAAAAAAGCATAAGGATCTTCACGGGATCCTAAGCAGATCTGCAGTTCTTCAAGTTTGCAGAAAGGAAAAGCGACTCTCAGTCTGTGTACACAAGGAGCACAGCTCTGCAGGCAGTGCTCTGCTGGTGCTATTCAACCATTGCACAAGCCCATCACCCTTCATGTGTTTGGTGGTACAGGAGCTGGCTCAGAGTACAAACCCAGCATGGGAATATTCACTCATGTTGGCTCTTTTTATGGCAGGTTATTGCCCCAAGTTGGCTCTTTAAGGACCTGCAGTGTCCATGAAAAAGGCACTGGGTCCCTGCAGTGGGGGACCAAGAGCCAAAGATGAGGACCCATGCTGCCCAGGGCAGGCAGTGGATCCCAGTGGGCTGCCCTGGCTCTGCTGCCCACTCAGCCTCACATCAGCACTGTGCTCCTTTTGCCAGCGTAGGCTGAGCTACCTGAGGAGCTATACCCGACTGCCGCCTTTGTTTTGGGATGGCAGTCAATGCAGTGCACTGACAGCTTTGGCACAGCCCACTGAGTGCTGCTGGAGTGCCAAGACAGAAACCTGGGCACACCATAACACCTCTGGGATAATCCTGCAGTGGGACATCCCCCCTGCTGTCCCTAAGTGCACATAGATGGCCCTGCAGCAAGGACAAGGGCCGAGCTGGAGATGGCTATGAGGTCCCTTACCAACATAACAGCCATGCCTTCTGTTTTCTGAGGCAGAGCAACTTGCAACCCTCATCTCATAGCACTATTATTATTTTGATAATGAATAACCTGAACTTTGTACCATATTGTTTTCTTAAATCACTGCTGCAAAATTTTCTGCTAAGGTCCCTACCAGCTAGGAGACATAAGAGCCACCACACAGCTCTGGTGTTCCTCAGAGCCCACTGTGAGCCTGTTCAGCTCACCAGCTGAGCCCAGGGCAGAAAAGGGAGGTTCCTCTTTCCAAGCGGGCAGGTTAAATCAGCTCACAGGTGGGTCTAAACCCACCGAAGGGGCTGCATGCCTGGAAGAAAAGAGGTGGAGCTGTGGAGTGGGGTTTCCCCACCTCAGAGGCAGCAAGCAAGGGCAGAGGCCTGTGATGAGGCTCATTGCAGGCTGTCCTAACAACATGCCTCAGGGTCTTCTCTGTGCCGGCGTAAACCCCATCTGCAGAGAGCACAACAGCTCCTGCAGACCATAGCTCCACTGAAGTCCTCCTATTTACAGCTATTCAATTGGCTGTTGCAGGAAGAGGGAGGGAAAAAAGAGAATAAAAGGTCACTACTGCCAGGAGATCTTAAACTGTTTAACTTCCATGCTCAGGGGCAAAATTATCTGCTAGATACCAAGAATTCTCAAACCAATTCCTGATTTAGTAAATAAACGAAACATTTAAATGGAGGTCTTTTGACTCTCATTAATGTAATACAACCAAATCATGGCTACATTCAATGAAATACCAGATTTAAAGTGTGTTCACATCCTATGGAAGCAATCAAAAACCAACAGGCAAGCCAAGACTTATCGGACATCAGAATAAACTAGACTGTTTTCTCCTAACAGAATCCTACATCTCTAGTACATCTCTAGTCAGATCCACACTGTCCATTAGTACTGAGACACTGGCTTCCCTTGTAGCTGCTTACCCATGCCACATCCAGAACTTGCCATACATGAAGTATTTTACAGCTCTGGTTAATAAAATACAAGCACAGAAAACTTGTTGCTTTCTCATGCTACCTGCTGGATGCTGCCCAGAGCTATCACAGGTGCTGGGAAGGGACACAAGCCCCAGCAATTGCCAGGACCACCCAGCCCACTCCTTCCAGGTAGGGAAGGTGCCAGTGTGGGCAGGAGGAAGGAGAAGGGACCCTAGAGCCTGGTGAGGCCTTGGGAGGGGGAGTGTGTGTTAAAAGATGTGAGAAATGCACCCCAGACACGAGAGCATCACTCCACAATCAGCAATGCACGTGAGCTTGGGGTCTCCTCCCAGCCTCAGGCTGGTGCAAACCAGCAGGTCATGAGAAGGCCACTGAGACCACTCCTGGCCCACTGCTCTGTCCAGGAGGTCCTTCATGTCTCACTGAGCAGCCTGGATGGCAAGAGGTCCCGCTGTCCTGTGTCTGGGTAGAACATGCAGGTGAGCAAACGCAGCAAACAAGACACCCGTGCACAGAGCTGGCCCAGCAGCCATACAGCCTGCCCAGGCAGTGCAAGAAGCAGGCTGGGCTGGGACAGTCTTCTCACCACAACAGCCCCCGCTTCACCCCCTGGGTTGTTTCTCTGTCTGGCTATCACAGACACAGCTGCCCATCAACAGCTAAAATCCCCAGCTGTGCCTCTCACCGCACCAGTGAAGTGCTAAGGCTTGGACAACAGGCCCAAGCCAGAGTTGACCTATAGATGAATCCTCTATATTTTATAACTGATAACCATTGTGCTAGTGGGTATTGTACTAAGTTATAACAAACCACCTATTCTGACGTAAAAAGTGGAAGTATTGAAGCCTGAGCAACAGGCCCTGAGCCGAGGGTGCTAATTTAGCATGCAGTCATTAACAAAATATGTAAACTCACTAGTGAAAGATGCAGCTTAGACAGAATATAATCAGTAGTGAGGATGAAAGGCGGAGAGAATGTATCCAACTTTCCTTTCTCAGCCAAGGCTGAGAACCCAAATGTTCAGCCTTGTTAGAAACTTCCTTGGTTCATCCCCCTGCCCCGGCCAGGCTTTGGGTGGAATCAAACAGGATGAAACCAGAAATTTTCCGCTCAAAACAAAGATGCCAGCTATTCTGGCTTGCTGATTTTTAGTATATAAGGCTGGACCCATTTGCAGCGACATTGGATGCCTCAGCTACGTGTGGAGGCACCGTGCAGGATTTCCCACTCGCCGGGACAGGCTCTCCAAACCCTTGCTGTAACCAGGGCTGCCCAGCGCCTGCGGATCTGGGTGATGGGAATGGGTGCAAGTAGGGATGGATCTTTCTTAATCGCTGTTCCCTCTCTCTCTGGTGGTAATGATTTGAGGCGTTACCCTGTATTTTCCTATTTGTTGCTTTAATTTTGTCTTTTCTTACTGCATGCTTTCTGTATTACTCTGTTAGATTTAGTTATCCCCAGTAAAATATGCCTACTCTTTTCACTCTGGTGTCCTAGTTTAACTGGCATCCTTAATCAGCAAAATAATGTTACAATGCTAACTACTAAATCTATCCCATGTAAATATGTCCATTGAACTGAAGCACCTGTTCTTTACTCCCCTGAATAATATCAGACACCTGAGGTTGCACCAAGGAAGATGTACAGCTGGGTGCTGTTGAAACAACCCAGACCATTGCTTTGTCCACTATAAGATGCTGGGAGTGTCTGAGGTTCCCCGGTAACTGCCTGTTTCAGATGTACTTGCTTTGGGAGCCTCCCAATGAACGAATGCTCATTCCAAAACACACTCCTTCATTTCGTTTCTTGTTTGCCTATGGTTTGAAAAGCTCTCCGTGCTACTGGTTACAGGGATGGGAAGCACAATATGCAAAAAGCACTCACAGCATGCTTGTTCATCCTGTTTCAAGAACAGGAAATCTGGACTTGTCACAAGACAAAACAGTGATAGATCCCTTTCTGACTCCTTCCTTCATAATTAACATACATGTGCTATAATTTGTAGGGACTCCACAAAATCAGGGAATCAAACAATATGTTGTAAAGATTTCTTAAACAAAGTATTCAACCAGTATAAACCAAGAGAGAAAAGTAAAAGGTTCATCTACAGCCACTCTGCAAACCATCCATTGGATAGCCGGGCTCAGTACATGCAGCACCATTATCTTTAGCATCCTGAAGAAATTTTACTCTGAGGACTTCTCATGTTCTGCCTCCCTAAACTTCACTTCACACACAAGCATCCCAAACATTCCACTCCAGCTGGTTAACTCTGCTCTGTGCTCACATAATGCAAAGGTGGATGCATTTTAACTGTAGGACATGAACCACAACACATTAATTTCACAAAATATCTTTAGTTCCCCCAGAGATCAAAAGAGGTACAAATTTTAGCATAGCTTCTTGCTTTGCCTGTTGTGGAGATAAAACTGTAAGATTATTTTAATTTGAATTACCCTCTGGGCTTTGATCTGTCTGGTTCATGAACTCAATCCTGTGTTACTGCTTTGTCCTTATCATGCCGAAGCTGTACCTAGGCTTGTTTATGGATGTCTGTCAGTAAGAAATCTGTGCAAACTAATTGCACTGCCTGGAAAAAATGTGTGTCTCTCTCTCCTCTCTGCCAGAAATAAAAATGTAAGCGTGTTTTAAATTTAAAAAAAAAGAAAAAAGTATAAAAAATTATAAAAATAAGTAATAAAAGTGTAAACACTTCAAAACAAACAAACCAAGCCCAACAAAACAAAACACACAAGACCACTATCACTGCACCACATCTGATCTTTCCTAAAGTCCAGTCTCTTGGCTAGTAAACATCAATCTATCGTATACAACTCATAGCCAATAATTCTCCAACTATAAACATCACTGTAACAATCCGAACTTTCAGAAAAAACATACTTGCCATCTTTGGCCCTACTCTGATTTTGTATTCCTTCAGAATGCTCAATCACAGCAAGCCATCCAACACTGCCTTAAAATATGTCATGACATACTTGGTAGCAGATCTGTGAATACCATTGGGATGAACCTAGAAAGCTGAAAGACAAGGTGAGCATCACATTGAGTCTGAGATGCCTGCATCAGTTTACAAATCAGAACATTTCAGGACAGACAGAAGTGAAGAATGAACTACCCTTTACTACTTCATCCATTCATTCCCCCAGCTTTTTTCACCTTTCCAGTTCTCTATACTTTCAGTCAAGCATACATATCACCTCTGTACTTCTGCACAAGCTTTACCCTCCTTTCCTGCTCTGGATAATGCCATCTTATGGGGTCCCAACCTTTGATGAAAGAATCTGTCCATTTTAGTTAATAATTCACCAGAGAAGGTTCAATCCTCTTCTTTTAGCCCACTTGATCATCAAGAGCCAGGAGAACTAGTGAAACACTTGTTACCTAACAAGTGTTTAAAAGAAATTTTAGCATATTTAAGGAGATAAATTCTAATCTACAGTTCAAATACTCAAAAATCAGAATACCTTAAATTCAAAGGACAGTACTATAACAAAGTAAACAAATCTAACAATGTGAAAAAAGAAAAAAAGCCTGAAATCTCTCTCTGCTTATCTAAGTGGCATTGCAAGTGTTTCTGCAGGGAGTTGTTAACTTCCAAAATAAATACTGTAGCGCAAAGAAGCTAAGAACAACAAATCACTCTGGCTTACATGGTTTAAGATACTACCCATCCTAACATTAACTCATGTGGATCTCCTGTAAACACACTAAAAATATCCTACTTGTTATTTGCAGAATTACATGTAAACTCACACCCATGCTGTACTACGTGAGAAGACATTAACATTACAAAGACACATGCTGAAGAATTAAGAAACATCAGGATGCCCAGGCAGTTGGCTCCCACCTCCCCGCCCAACCAGTTCGGGGTGTCATCCCTTTTCTCCAGCCCATCTTGTTGGATTCCTCCTGCTGTCCTCAACATCTTATCCTCTCCCAGCATCTACCCTCCTGCATCAGGTGGAAGGATTTCTCCAGCAAGTCTGCACCCAGGATCATACCAGCCTGCTACAGACATGGATGTCCAAACAGAGCTCCAGGCAGTAGCCAGGGTCAGAGCACGCTGGCCAAGAACAGCATCTGCAGAGCATTTAGGTTCTAGCTCCCAAGATTCTACTGAGTGCATGCAAACATTTTTTTCAGAGGCTTTTAACTTTCAAGTTTGGTTTTATTTGTGGGGAAAACAGAAAGCAGAGCTGCAACCCCTCCACCCCAGGGAAATCTCAGTTTCCTATTGCAGAACACAGGAAGATTTGAAGTGAATTAAACAACTAAAATTGTTTGGGGTTTTTTGTTTTGTTTTTAAATGGGCAGAAAAACATTTTATGCCCTTATCATCATCATCTCTGAAACAGCCCATTTTCATTAAAAGATCAGTCTGAAGACGACGTGAAATATTTTAGCCCAATTGGTTCAAGACTTGCAAAGCTATAAACAACTATAAACAGTATTTTCACAAAAAATCTAGGTAACCTTTCTCACAGATGGTGCTACCAATTGTACACAAAATCTTTAGCACTGCACTTGCACGTTGGTGCAACCAGAGCTGTGCAGGGGTAACAGCTTCAAATTTCAATCTGCCAGTGAGCTATGGATTTTTGGTCCAACTCCAAAGATAAAAAGGTACCTAGAGCCTTCACAGCAATTTGTCGAGTTAGTGGTGGAGGGATATTGATGCAAACCAAATCTACATCCTGGTGCAGCAAGACATCATCAGTCCGACTCGTGTAGAAGGAGATGTTCATTTCCTCTGCCAGTTGTTTGGCTTCCTCTTCAGTCTTCCCCCAAAGCGCTTCAATGGAGAAGCCTTCTGCTCTCAGCAAGGGTACCAGTACCCGGGCAGTGCTGCCAGTTCCAAACACACCCACTCCAGGAAGCATTTTCATTCTGCACTCATTCAAGCATCAGGGTCTACACATAGGCCTTCGATAAAACGTTCAGCTCCTCAGCTTTCCGTTCCATCCACAGATCCTAAAACATGAAAAGTTATACATCAGTATAAACAAAAGGCATATTTTGATATCAAATGCATCTAGCCCAAATGCTAACTTCTATCCTTCATTTGACATTCAAAATTCTCAAAGATCCTAATGAAAAAAAACAAAACCCCACAAACTTGCAATCCATAGAGAAATAGTATTAAGGGACAAGTCTAACAATTCTATTGCAGAAGAATAATAAGAAAGCAGCTTGACAAAGTCACGAGCATCTTCTGAACTTCAAAACTCAGGACACACGTACAGAAACACACATGAGCATGATGAGACAAACCAGAGACGGTGAGGCACAAACTGGGAGCGACAGGAAGCGTCAAGAGGACAGGACAAAGTCTATGGCACCGGCAGTAAGAGCAAGTGCTGCTGTACTGGTGATGACATAAGTCTCTAAATGAGATAAAGGTTTGTGAAATGAGGCAATAGCTTTTATTAGACCAACTGAGATAGTTGGGAATAACAGGCAAGCTTCTGGGTATATAAATCTTTCTTCCAAATTAAGTAACACAAACTGAAAACAACTACTTAGAGCTTAACAATTTTATAGCAAATAGTTCAGCCACTCCAGAGAACATCTATAAAATCTGTCCTGTGGGGAAAGCCTGGATTCACTGAGCTTGTTTATCCTGGGGAGGCAAGGGCTGCAAGGAGAGATAATGTCAGTGTTTAAATACATAGAAAAGTGCTTCTCGAAAGGGAAAGGGCAATCCTCTATGTACACTGTGGGCAGTTAAAAGTTTTACTTATCTTGTGACAATTAACAATATCTAATTCTGCCCATGCCCTTTAATCTGCAGGAATGCAGGGTTTTGCACAGAATTATTATATTCCCTACACACAAACATCTGGTTAAGTCACACTTCTTCTGTTAAGTATTTCCTGGTCAATTAATCACTTTGGATCCCTACTTGCCAGCCTGTCTTAGAACTGCTTCTGGCCACAACTAGCTGAACTGCCTTTATCGTTCCCCTGAGCGTTAAACCTCAGTGAGGTGTCGGAAGTCTCCTCAATCTGTGACACTGCAAGAACCTTAATCTGGCTCTTCTTCTGTGTCTTTTTGAATACTTACCTACTAGACCCACTGTTGACCTTTTTTTGAATTATTTTTTTTAGAAATAAAAACTTTTCTTAACTTTAATAATATGACAAATGCAGTTTTCTTTAGAATCTTATAATGAAAAAGCAAAGACCATGTTTAAAAAGAGAACTGGTACCAACACCAGATCAACACCTTTGGAAAAAATCCCCAACAAGCAACAAGAATCATAGTCTATTTTGGAGAGAGACAGTTACTCATCTCCCCATCTTAAAATACTTGTGCTAAATTACAAGGTGTGAAAGCAAATCGTGACACAGCACCAGGAAGCACCCGTGTGCAAGTCAAACTACCCACAGTGAGAGTGCTCTGCATGCAAGCAGCAGTTCGTTAGTCTGGGGGCTGCCTGTACTGACCAGTGTAACAGAACCCCAACCCCAGCTGAATTTCTAGGTAGTTTTGTAATATAGACACTAAATTAGGAACTAGAAACAGCAGCATTTGTGAATATTTATTTTGCAAAACACACAGAAATGTTTACAGATGCTATAAAACACCTCGTGAAGTATTTACTGAATTAATTCAGTATGTTTTTTCCTTATTCTGTGTGATATTAGGTTTGCAGTAATAAAGTCATTGACTTTCTTTACAAAGAACAAAGTTAATCTGAATTTGAATTAATTGCTTTTTATCCAACATTTAGCAGAACTCTCAGATAAGGATGGTATCAAAAGAACTTGAAAATATTTACTGTTCTACATAAAAGGTTGGAAGGATGGCTTGTATTCAGGCTTGTTTTCTCTAAATGACACAAAAATAAAAATCTTGCAACTGGACAGACAGTAAGTATAACTGTTGAAGTCCCCACACTTCTATACTTGTCAGTATATAGGGAAGAAGATAAATGCCTGCAGTAAGAAGAGCATCATCTCTTGAACAGACGCAAACTAAACAAGGTGGAATAGAGGCAAGGTGAGCTTGTGCCTTGCTTGCACCAGATTGCACAGACATGCTCAAAGTCCTAATTACACAAAATTTCTAGAAAAAAGTTTAGAAAGTTTAAAAATGCTATAAAGAGCACACTGCAGCACTTGATGTGCACAACAGGAGACTCCTGCTACAGATAATCAGATTTCTGTAACACTCCCTCAAGTTTTACTTTTTCCTATTTTCCATAAAACTGCCTCTTAAAAAAAAAAACCCTCAGTCAGGTGGAATTCATTCTAAACTCACTTATTCCCAAAATGTAACGTGCTGCTGTGCCAACATCACCAGCAGCTACTGGCACAAACCCACAAAAGCCAGTGATTTACCACCGCGGAGACTGGCTCCTGATAATACAAGAACTTAAGGACACCAGCTCACCGCTAGTACCACAACAAACTAAGAAATGGCCAACCCAGCCTCAGCGGCGACTTCCAACAAGGCAGCCACACTCTTGGGGTATGAAGACACAGCTTGTGCAGTTACAGGGCCCATCAGGGCTGTAGACACCCCTAATCATGGAACCAGCAGGCTCTGCAGAGAGCAGCACTGACAGAGGGCACGCTCCTCTTCCCTCACCTCCCAGCCACCCACAGCCATTCCCTCACCAGTCTTTGGCCGACAGGGAAGTCCTGGTTTGTCATGCAAGTCACAGTGAGGTGGGTGTGGATGATGAAGGGCAGCAAAACACAATCCTTGCACAGGGCAAGTCACAGAGTACACGTGGCACTGGCAGAACTAGAGTAAATGCTGAAAGAACTGTAATGGGAGGTTCAACGAGAGCTCTGGGTCCCCAACCCACATGCACACCCTGCAGACACACTTAAGGGCTGGCAGATGAGACATTCCAGCCTAGGCCACCCTGGGGAAGCAATCTAAAAATCTCCTGTATCAGAATGAGGTCATGGCTGAGGAGAGAGGCAGCTGTAATTAACGATCTATGAAGAATGAACAGAGACGCCAAAAAAACTGCATTGTAGCACTGGAAAGTCCCAGAGCACCACTCTGGGGAGCTCTACGTGCATTTCTGATACTTTACCTTTAAGGAGGGGGGGAAGTAAAACTGGAAATGATGCAGACAAAGGTGATCAAAAGCATAAAAAAATCAACATAACAAGTAAAGGCTCCTCAGTTTGAGAAAGATGTCACAGAAGGTAATAAAGTCATGAGTGGCTTAGGATGGAGAAAAAACAATTTTTCAATGTCTCTCACAATACAAGAGCAAATCAAATGGAGCTCAGAGAAGGCAAGATCAAAAGACTCTAAAGGAGGTGATTGCTTGCACCAGATTTTGGTAAGCTGTCAAACACCTTGCCACAGGATACTGTGGACGTTAGCCATTTAGACGGGAGTCAAAAGGAAGGCTAGACAAAGTTCAAGGAATCCACTGAGGGTCACTAAATACACAGAAGTCACATCTAGCACAAGTAGCCAAGCTCAAAACTAGTAAAAACTAGCTTCAGCAGCGCATGAAAACAGCTCTGAGAAAGAAACATCTGAAACTGTGACCTACACCAGCTTAGAATTAAGTATGTCTCTGTATTTAATCTAGGACCCAGCAAGCCTCAAACCTTCAAACAAGCCTCAGCAAATTAGTTACATAAATCATGAAAAGCCTTTTATAAGTCAGTCTTTCAGAAATTTAAATCCTTATGCATTGGTATCTCTGGTGATCAAACACTGTAATGAACACTTTTCTGGGGACCCTCCCCCAGGAACACCAAAAGGCAGGGCTTTTATCTCGAAGTGAAAACCAGACTGAAACAGGTATCTTGCCTGTCAGGAGACACAAAGCAATCTCCTTTTTAGAGAGATGAAATAATCAATGCCTGCAACAGCATTCTGAACTTAAATTTCAAACCAGAAACACTTAAAACTTTAATCTTGCTGCTATCTGCCATTCCTTTTAGTGCTCACAAAACGTTTCCATTCTTTCTGAATTTCAGTGAATTTGAAAACTCCATCCTACAGTCACAGACAGGAGCCGTTTGAGTCTTTCAGTATACATGAGCAACAAGCATTTATGTGACCCGATACAATGAAAAACCTGTCAACTCCTACAGGATCCAATTCAATTCCTGACACTGAAGCTGTCAAGAAGTTCAGAAGGGTGAGGTCTCAGAAACTAAAATAGTACAGTCAAGGACTGCAGCGTGCAGAAACCATTGTGGACCATTACAGATGGCCAAAGGTAGTAAAATAACAGCCTGTGTCCAGAAAGATGATGGTCAGGGTAACACTGGCTCTGCAGAAGGAGAAAGCAATTCATACTTCTCCAACTCATCCTAAAAAGTTCTGTTTTGGTTCCAAGGAAGGTGAGGCACGTGGTGGAGGAGCTACAGTGGCACTGTTTTCATCCAGCTGGTCACCACTTCTGAGTTTGCAAAGAAAACAAAGACAAGTAACAAGGGCCGTACAAGTAATAAAGTCGTTACTGGTCGTGACATCCTCATTGGATCTTAAGATTGCATGAGAATCTCTGACAACACAAGAACTACTTGGATTTTCACTCTGCAGTAGGGGTCTTACATCTATGACATTAATACCCTGCAGAGACCTGTGAGAACAACTGCTGCCTCTGAACTGCCCGTTCTGCAAGGATCCCAGCAGAGGTGGCAGAAATGCACATAGAGACCTTGCTGGCTCTGGGAGCCGGCAAGGTCTCTGCAGAAATAAAGCTGAGGGAACTTCACCAGACCACTCTGAGAAGCTGGAGGTCACCTCATACATGAAGGAATTTTTTCCTGCCAAACCGTTCATCCCACCTTCTGACTCACACCTACCTGAAGCTCTTTATGTTACGGTTCACGTGCACATGGTTCATGTGCTGATGTCAAAGACACCAACACGCTTTCTCTCCTAAACATGCTTTGAATTCAATACAAGCAGGTTGTGCGATAGCCCACGAGTATAAAGCTTCCAGCAAGTCCCACCACACCCCAAGACAAGGCCG